CAAAAAACTTAAAAATACATTAGTTTCCAGAAGTAGTTGTACGTGAAGTAATGTTGCGACAACCAAGTTTACTGAATTTGTATTATATCTACAACACTTTCCACTGGTTATTGTGATCACCATGACAAATTAGAAAATCATTTGATTAAACAACAAATCCTGAAATATCGGAGCATTGAATCTAACCTACACTGTTCGTGTGTTCGTGGTACCTAATTACCAAATCGAATATAATTGTTGAAAGTTTATAAGGTGGTTCTGAATTCTATTACTAAATCCTGATGGAATTTTCCATGAATTTGACAAAACCTAAAGTACTTTTGTTGCTAAGAAAAGTTGTCTGTATTACTAATATTACTAATATATGGATTCAAAAGTTTGTGATCCAATATAATCGTAAAAATGAAATAAATTTGGATTGAGAGTGAGTTTGATCTAGCGAGATGAGGAGTGTGATAGGAATTTTTTGACCAAGGTATCTGTTATTTAATTATCGATTGGAATCAATGCAGCTAACTTGTGATGTATTTTGTGTGCCCTAACTCTGAATAATATAAGTTTATAACCACCACCAGTTCTCATTATTATATCCACCAGCTAGTACGGATGGGTGTGATATCGCTTATGCCGCGCGCCTATAGTCTGAAATAAAGACTTCACATATAACACACTTGATTCCCAAAATCAAATGTTTCTAAATTGTATTTTGTAGCTCGGTATGCATTGTTTATTTGAGCATTCGAAAATAAGAATATTGCGCCGACACATTAATGTGATCAGTAAATTCAATATTTATTTTTAAAACTTAAGAGCGATCCTCAAAATCGAACTACAGGTATTTGACTATACATATAATTGTTGATATATTAAATGTTTATTCAAAAAAATATCGAAAGCTTGACTACGTCTAATCGGCAATAGCATTGACATTTATTACCAAAATAGACGTCCTGCCCAGATAAAATACTATGGAACGATTAAAAGGTCAAAGGGCACCGCCTGCGTTTTTCCGTTTCTTCTAATTTTTTAATCCGTCTAAATACGAATTCAGAGTGGCCTTTATAGTGCCACATAGGATAAATTTATAATGATCATGATACACAGTGCACACAGAACCCAACTATTATTATTTAGTAGATAAAGTATTCTTTCCAGCTACATTTATACGCTATTAAATTATCGTTAATGTCACCATGTGTTTTTTATTAATGGGTGGTGGTCGTCGCGCCGCGTCCTGATCGACATGGGACTCATGGCGACATATGCAACGCGTGTAAAATATATTGCTTGCTTAAATTCGATCACGCGCTGCGCGCCGACCGCCGCGCTTTAAGTAATTTTAGCTCAGTATATACATGGAACCACATATTTCAATGGTTTCATCGTTCGTAAAATGTTAACACAGTGTATTTTTAAAATGCCAATGACAGCGTGCTTTGTTTAAAAAAGGTAGGATTTTTTTTATAGACCAAGCTGGTCGTTGTATTGTATTGTATAAAAATCTAATGTACATACCGATTCTTGCTTTGTTCTCACAGATAAATGATCATATGACTGGCATAAGTCTTCTTTTTACTCGATATATTGTTCCCAGCTGAGAACACACCCATATGCAGAGCAATCCGATTGTCCATACTCACTGGTACAACACAGAGCGTAAAACAATTATCTACTTGTTCCATTACATATATAAAATTATACATAATTTGGTTTTAAATTCAGATTTATATATTCCGACTATCTGCATATTATATTGTAATGTATTCATACAGTTTTAGAAATATTGGATTTGGACATTTGCTGAATGTGTGGATTTAAAAATTAATCCGTCTATTTATATCCACGCTGAGTAACGTGCGTTGTATTTTGAAAAACAATAAACATACATATAATTATAGAATGTGGCTGAAATGCATGTGATTGGAATTATTTGGTGACTATGCCTTGAATGTGAGTTCATGAATTTTCGAAAAAAATGATATAGTGCTTTGTTGATGTTATCGGTGCTTCCACTAGAACGCATGCAAATATGTTATACGTGCGATGGTCAATGATTTATAACAGCGCCCTCGTAGACATTATAATATCTAGCAAAACAGAACATCTGTGTTGTACAAACTGCAATAGCTCTTAATCACAACAACACGTATGAAAATCACTTGTTTGACAACTTTTGCTTTTAACTCGTTTCTACAAAATAACACATGGATACAATTTCCACTGTTATTGTACCCATGAGAATTATGGTACAAGGGGCTTGAAAGGGTACGAATAATTGTTTGGGATAACTTTAGCCTTTACTGACTTTAGCTGGAAACACACACATACAATTGATAAATAAAAACAACCCCACTCAG